GGGGGCAATTGCCCAATTCGCAACGCATTGTGCTCTATCCAGGGTACCAAGCTCCAATCACTAAAAATGTGAATTAGTTAATGTATTTTTTTCTTTATAAATAATACACATTGGTGATAATACACATTAATTGGTAAGAAGTTTTGGATTTATATAAGCATGGATTCATGACCAAATGTATCCTTATATGTCCAAGCATTGTTACTTTTTTGAGAATTTTAGAAGTATTAGAACAGTCGTAATTAGACATTGGTTCCACGGAAGCTTTTTATATAAAGATATATTAACCACCGCTCTACATCCAGTGATAAGACCCATAACCACGGCTCTTCCCCCAAGACTATCAATAAACCAGTACGTAAACGTCAATAGAAATCCATTACAAAATCCGGAATAAGCAAATCCGTTATATGCATGTATACTAGTATAATAACTACAGTGAAACACGCACCGGTGTGACATCACAGCATATAATGAGTTTTCAGAAGCGCATAGTTTTCTTGACGAATACGTATCTAAAAAACTTAAAAATTGCCCTTGTATATGTATTAATTTCATAACTGGTAATTAACTCTCTGTATTTGTTTGTAAAAATATAATAATTTTATCAAGGTAAAATATTGCGTTTTCAAAATGTCATTATGCGATGTGATGTCACCGACCGGTGATATTTGCATATGAAACAAAGTTGAATATCTTGCAAAGGAAGCAAGTTACCAAAATTCCATAAAAGAAATCATAAACATTTGGGGTGTAATTTCGTGTCATAGGCACTTTAACATAAGCAAAACAGTGACTAGAAGTCAGAGTTAACTTGAATTGGTGTTGTTTGTCATTTTTCCAACAACAAATTATGACTCATCTTTCAATGGCTCCAAATTTAGACACTTGCAAAACAAATTGATGATCCAGGTTTTCTCTGCAAATTCTTTTGTGGAAGTATAGTGGCTTTATAGGCCTTGCGGAAACCCCTTCACCAAGTACATCATGACCGATTTCAAACTCCACAGGAACTGGCATGGTGGACCAGGTGAGGGACTGAATATTGAAGGAATACAGGTTGACAAGTGTGGTGTTAGCCTTTACTAGCTTTCCCATGCAGTTACTGATAAACTTCTTGGAGCAGGTACCGACATTCGGCATAGCCTTCGAGGGAGAATGCAATCTTCTTGTTGACTTTTACCGCTTTGCACGTGAACCATTATCAGGAGAACCTTCACAGTTTTCATAGTTACTATTAACTAATAACTTCGCTTGTTTTCGTATCCTCTAATGACTCTAAGTCTCTAATACTTCTACCTCAGTTTCCGTATGAAACGCACATGGATTAGTTTTAAGTTTGGCTGATCTGTTTCATGGTTCTACACGACGGGCCCTGCCCCAATGCTGTGCCTTAAATGTATTGCGTAGGCTTTCTTGATATTTTCGATTGTCATTTCTAGGCCCGTGAAATCCACGAAATCCCGCGGGCTAACCCGGCTATATTTCTGCGCCTTTCCGTGGACCTTCTGAACTTAAACGTTGTACAGTTAGTTTCTCTATCTGCTGGCTTTCTTCCTTGTCGTTTTTTTATTTCGGGTTCTTTTCGGTTGGCATCGCTTTTCCTTCATTTTTTCCTGAAACTTCTTCCACGTGTCTTGCTTAATTAGCTGCCATATTGGAACACAAATTGACATGCTCCCCGATTTTTAAACTCGTAGTGCATTAATTGTGGTCTATGGCGGTTGTGGGCCATAGTAAATTTGCGTTTTATTTTTATTTTGCGATTGATTTTATTTTTGTTTTGATTACGTTTTGAAATGGTTTTACTTTAATTAAATATTAAAAAAAAAAATTAAATAAAGAAAATACTATGGCGGATCTGGCCAATCCACCATATACTCGTCAAATTAAAGCCACGCTACTTCGAAAACTAGAGTTGAGGACATTGTTTTTAACGCATTCGACACATGCCTAACATAACAAAAGCATCAGGGGCGGCGGAACAGGGGGGGCTAGGGGGGCTAAAGCCCCCCCAGAAGTGGAATTTTTTGAAAAAATTTTGATAATTAGGGAAAAATTTATTTTTTGAAAATTTAGGTATAAGGGGACAAATTTGCAATATTTTGCTTAAAAAAAGTGTATTTCCGAAAAATTTTTTTTGATATAAGTCCGAAAAAAATTTTTTCGTCCCTTTTTTTGTATATTGTACCCCTAAAGTGGTACACTGACCGAAGGTACACTGACCGGAGGTCGCCGAAAAAATTTAGCCCCCCAGAACGAAATCTGTTCCGCCGCCGCTGAAAAGCATGATCAATGATAAAAAATATTCCATGCACATACTTCAATCCCACTGACCATGGTAGTCAATATTACCTTATAGTCAAATCATATTCAAACAAAAAGTCGACCGACTAATTCAAACCCTGTTTAACTAATTATACCAAACTGATCGACAACAATCGAGATGAAATTGATTCGCTTTTAACGCTTGAAATGAACGCTTTCAGACGTGCAAATACAATGTTGATTATAACTGCTGACTTGCTCGCTCTCTTCAGGCTCGCTCGCTGCGTCAGCAATAAATATTTTTCCTTTTGTCTACAATCTTATCATTAATGCAAGATCTGTACCGACACAAAGGAGTCTCAAACGATATACGCATTAAATATCCCACGCATGAGGTATATTATTCCTTAACTGTTGGCGTTGCATGCGATTTAATATAACATTTCTCACTTGGCGAACTTAGAGAATAGAAGATAATTGCAAAGATGAGGGTAAGTATGTGAATTTACAAACAAGTTTTATATAAATATAGAGGAATTATCATGTAATGTTTATTCATAATTCCGGCGTAAATTCATTTTTCAATGCATTCTGGATGGACTAGCTAATTATCGATCGCATCAGTCATGGGGACTATTTGCTTATAACTTACACTTAAACTTGTACATCGATACTTGATTATGTAGGCTACGTCTGACTATATCTCTGCAGTCAGGGTAGACTGAATGATTTACCGCATACATAACATCGAATATGATTGGTCACAACCATTCAGCGACCAACTCAAAACCAGACTACTATATTAATGTAACTAGAAGTTACTATCGCAAGGGAAGTGCTGCCTTACGACCCAAAGTCTAGGGATTGATTATACCAAAAAACTTCATTTATTTAAATTGCCTTATATATACACTGTATGTATGAATTTATTTTGTTTAATAATGCAATAATTACTATATACTGTAAACTGTACTTCGGATTTTCATAATTACACATGTGATTGTTGGTACCAATGTTTTAAACCGTCTTCACTTGTCAAAACGTCCAGAAGAACACAATTGGGAAGAACAAACATATGTCCTTTAACGTGATATGATTAGTTTCTTGCAAGTTCTCACATTCTTTCCAAGTAATACTGTATTTTCGATTTGGTAAACAAGACAGTGCCATTCAATGTTTTTTGTCCAATATGTAGATGTTTCGTATTTGTAGTGTACAGGTAGTGTCCATTGTTGGCCAACATAGGTACTGTATGTAATATCTTGACATACAATGTTCCTGACATCCATATGGTAGATTGGAAACAAGTAAATTAATTTAATAATAGATGGCAGATTCCATATCCTATTACATTGGATGTGACATTGGACAATCTTGTAAATCAGCATTCTTGTTTTAATAGAAGTACACTTCTGTTAATCCAGAAGCTCCCATCCATTTTCATTATTTTGGCTGTAACAACCATTTGGTTTCATCCAGCAGTTAACATGGCACCATTCACATCCGTCAGAATTGCAAAACTATAGAAAAAAATAATTGGTAGCATAAGATATTTATGTGGAAACATGGTAGCACATAGGCAGGGGGAGGGGTTAATTAAACAAACAAAAAACTTACCCTTCCTTTGTCTTGCAAATCATAATATTTTCATACATACAGTGATAACAAGGAGTAAAATAGTTAGTATATAATAAATTAAATTATTTAAAAGGGTATATAGTCAAAGTACATACCAAACTGTAACTGGGATCCATATATGAAATCCTTCTCTTACTCAAACTCAATAGTCTGTTGATCTAAATGCATTGCTGGTAGTCTGTGCTAACTGATCTAGCCTGTTTTCTTCTTCAAGCCTATATTGTAAGTTAGCGGATGATTTCAAGCTTGTTAATCGTTCATATGTCATTGGTTCAATGACACAAGATGCAAGTGATTTTACTCTGCTAATAGCAACATAAGAAACTCCAGCAGTTCTTTCAGATTTGCCGATATCTATCCACGCTTTTGGAAGTGTAAGTCCTTGGCTCTTGTGTATTGTTAGAGCCCAAGCAAGCCTAAGAGGTAACTGTTGTCTCTCATGGAAACCTATTTCTGTCTGTGATGTGACAGTGATTGGATATATTGGGATACACAATGGTCGGCTTTCATTAAAAACAGGCCCTCTATAGTTTTCAAATTCTACTATTACTGCAATAGGTAAGTCAGGTGGTTGATGGTTGTTCTGATAGATAATATCAACAACTGTTCCAGTAGCCCCATTGCAGAGGCCAACACTTGACCACAAATTCATAGTTAACATAACCCTAGCACCTTTTGCTAGAAACACAACAGGTTCTAACCCAGACATATCGTCTGAGGATATCTTTTTGGCCAATGCTGATGAATGGCGAGCATTAATATGAGCAATTGGATGCTCAAGTTTTGTTAGCTGCTCATGGTTGTAATTACCAACTTGTTCATTACTATAAAAGAGTCTAGTAGAATCTTCAAAATCACATAAATTAATGACATTCGATGGTTGACGTGTCAGAAGTAACTTCCAGTC